GAGAACTCATTTATTTTTTTTAACTTCAGAGATTTTTTTAAAAATAATTTTTTTCAATTATAGTTCGTGTACCATACATTAGTTTCAGGTGTTCAAGCTGATTAGACATTTATGACTTACAAAGTGATCACCCCAACAAACACAGTGCCCATCTGACACCATACACAGGTATAACAATATTAGTGACTGTGTTCCCTATGCTGTGCTTTACATCCCCATGACTATTCTGTAACAACCACTTTGTATTTTTAAAAAAAGATTTTACTTATTTGTAGAGAGAGAGGAAGGGAGGGAAAAAGCAAGGGAGAGAAACATCAATGTGCGAGAGAAACATCGATCAGTTGCCTCCCAGAAGCCCCAACCAGGGACCTGGCTTGCAGCCCAGTGACCCTTTGGTTCACACACGGGGACTCAATCCACTGAGCCACACCAGCCAGGGTCCAATTTATATGTCTTAATCCTGTCCCCGTTTTCACCCATTGCACAACTCCTCTCCCTTCTGTCAGCCTTCAAAATGTTCTCTGTACCTATGAGTATGTTTCTATCATGCTTATTCACTTATTTCCTTTTTTTTAGATTCCACATATAAGAGAAATCATGTGGTATATGTCTTTCTCTGTCTGACTTATTTTACTCAGCATAATACCCTCTAGGTCCATCCATGTTGTGGCAGATGACAAGATATCATACTTTTTTATGGCTAAGAAATATTCCATTGTATATAGGCACCACTTCTTTATTCACTTCATCTATTGATGGTCACTTAGGTTGCCTCCATAATGCTGCAACAAACATATATTAATAGATGTATATGTCTTTTTTTGAGTTATTGTTTTGGGTTTCTTTGGATAAATACCCACAAGTTGATTTTCTGGGTCCTTTGTTTCTTGTTATAGCCTCTGTTTTAAAGTCTATTTTGTATAAGTATTGCTACCCCAGCTTTTTATTAGTTTGTTTCTATTTTCATGAAATATCTTTTTTCTATCCCTTTACTTTTCAGTCTGTATGTGTCTTCAAGTCTGAAGGGAGTCTCTTGCAGACAGCATATCTAAGGGTCTTGGTTTGTTATCCATTCAGCCACCATATATCTTTTGATCAGAGCAGTTAATCTATTTGCATTTAAAGTAATTGTTGATAGATATGTATGCATTGTAATTTTATTATTCATATTATTTATCTTTTCTTTCTTCTTCTTAAAGAAGACCTTTTAACACTGGGAGAGGACTCTTGAAGGCCTGGACTTAGTGCCCTGTGACTTCTCCCTTTGCTGACTTTGCTTTGCACCTTTTTCTTGTGAGGAACCTTCTAATGAAGGTACGCATTACAATGTAAGCTATCTGTTCCTTGGTTATCACTATGTGCTGAATTCTCTGAGTCTACCTAGTGCATCTCCTCACCTGGGAATGATTGTAGAGACCCTGGACACATAAGGAATAGCCATTTGGCTGCTAATCAGTTACCTTTCATGTGGATGTGAATTTCTTTTCAGGAAAAAAATCAACCAACTCATTGATCATTCTATATACACATATGTTTAAAACTTTATATTTTGTATAGTATTTCCTCGTACATTACTGGTGCTTGTTAAAAGTGGAATAATATTTACTTTATATATAATGAAGCTAACTATTTTTGTAAGTTACGTAAGTCAAAGGCTCTAAAATTATGGTTTCCACAACAGCTGTTACTTGACTGTCTTATTTGCAAGTATCATTTTTGAACACAATATTGACTTTCATTATTTCCAAGAGTAATTCAGCCAGATAGAGTTGCTGTGGAAACCATAACCGATTCTTGTAATAAAGTATACGGCACTGAGGCATGAAATTTAAAGACTACAAAAACTCAGCATATGCATTGTTAGGATGAGGCATAGTTAATTTGAGAATTATAAAACTATTCCGTTAACTGCATTTTTAAACCTGAACCTTAATATTGCATGAATAATTTGACATTTAAATACCTCCTCCTTTGTTTTTAAAAGGCAAAATATGTGTAGGAGAGGATCTAATGAGCTGATTGATCATTTTTCTGGGTATTTAAAAATACCAGTTAGAGTTACAATATTGTAATAGAGAAAGTATTTAACAATCTAATGTTCAAATATATGTATTTTAGTGAATTAATCATTTCATTAAATACATTTTATTTTAACTTGGATAAGTCCCTGATACCTATAATCTTTATAACATGGTTTCAGAATAGAAGATATAATCAATGTAAATGTTGTTGCATAAAATAATAATATATGCTTTAAAAAAGAAAAACTCTAAATGAAAAGTATACTTTAAATGATATATTGCATCATTGAAACCATTAAAAATTTAAATACAAATAATAGGATTCATAAATAAAAAGCCATACTGGAATTTTTAATAACTTGGACAATTTACAAATATTTAAAACTAGTTATTCTCCTATTTGGATTTTAGCTACGAAGCAGAGGGACAACATTTTTGTAATGTGGAGAGAGAAATGTTTTAGTATGGATTTGAGTGTTGAAACAGATGGTTTTATTGGGAAATGGTGAATATGGTTTTATATTCTCATAATATAGACCCTAGAGATCATGTAATGGCAATATTCTGATTTCATAAGTTCTATTTTAACTGAGGAAAGGGAACAAGGAATGAAAATAATTTTATATCTAATATGGGGAGAGATAATCTGGCACCTTTCATTAAAAGCAAAACACCCTATCATATTTCAAAATAAATTTTAAAAAATCATATATTGTGATATATTACATTGCTACTCTTGTAAGGTGACTAATTTTAAACTGTTAGGATTTTACAATATATCCTGATTTAAATTTTAAGATAATATTGGCTCTTAAATGTTAAAGTTTGATTTGAAATAAAAACACATTCATAAACAGCTGAAAAAATGTTATGCAATGTAGAATGAATGACTGGCAAACTGAGGCCAGTTCATACACATGAAAATGTATTCATTTTTACTAAGGCAATTTTTCAAAATAATGAAATTTACTTGTGACACCATCTTTGTCAGATAATTTGATTCCTGTTAGGAATAAAATAAATAAAAGCAGTAAAGATTAAGGAACTGTGTAATTACCAGTAATTAAAGTATTTGGAATTATTACTATTTCTGCATTCTCAGTCTTTGTATTGGTAAAATATGCTTCTTCCAATCAGTGATTTTAAGTATATTTTAGTTCTTTCATCATTCCTCATATGACCTTTGGTTCTTTTCTCTCTTGAAAGTTTATATAAACACTTCTCCAATTCTTAAAAATAACTTCTTTGTCTATTATTTTTTTGATGTTTTTTTTTGTTCACCTCAAAAGTTCTTTTATTGTTACTTCAATGTTCTGCTTAGTGAAAATAATTACAAATAAGAAACCAGAAGCCTAGAGAGCTACTGAAGTAACAAGGATAACACTGATATCTAACTACTTAAAATACTTCACATTCTGCCTTTCTGTAAGTTTTTCAATATCTAGCTTTAGTTTACTAATCTATTAGGGATAAGTCATAAAACTTTTTTCATAAAATACATTTAAATATAACTGAAATCTTTTGACCTCCATCAGATTGTATATGTACTATGAGATATAGAACACACTGTGTGAAGATGTGGGATCTACGGATAGACTCATTTTATTGGTGTCTTATTCTTATAGCCAAGCTATGTAGTACCCACAATTTAAATTTGGGTCTTGGTAAAAAAGATAAATTACTAGATTATGGACATTTAGGTTAGCTTCTTAACATTGTAACTTTTAAGATTGTAAATTATAAGTTCATTGATGCTGATGATCAGCTTTCACACTAAATGTAGGGTGTGAACCTGGCTGAGATACAAAGAAAGACTCCTCCTCTATCTCCTTCTAGATTCTTTAGGTGTATTAGGCTAAATCTCTGCCTTCAAAGGTAACAAAATGCAAAAAAGTCAACAACATCACATCTCAGGGTGATGTTATGTCAAGATTAATGCTCTATTTCCTAGTCATATTCTAAATGGGGCTATATAATCTAAAAACAAAACAAAACCCCTCAGATAAACAGAACATACCACATGTAAGAATGGCGAAAGGAGAAAATTTTTAAAAATCTTTCCATAAACTTTATCATAAATATAGAAGGCATCCTTCTGAGAATTTTAAAAAGCCTGCTCTTTCTTTTGCTATATGGTAGGAAGAAGCAGGCTCATCTCTATTAAAATCAAGTGTAGTATTTTTTAAAAAGATCTGACGTATGAGCCAAGGCAAGAGTGAATGACTAACTCTAAACAAATACTTTTGGAAACAAAATTAGGGATAATAAATAAAAGAGAAGGTTTATCTCTTCTCTTTTATATCTAATAAAAGAAATAAAAAAAATAAAGAAAGAAGGAAGGTTTATGGAGTAATTACAAAATGTAAAATACTGTGACTTATAGTAAACTTATTCATGGTCAAGAAAAATTAATGTTATTTCCATATTTGATAAAGATAAATGGCAATTATCACAATAAACATGAACAATTATTTACATAGTTTCTATGAATTTCTATCTTAAAAGTATTTTATATTTACTTTCATTTTTGCGGGGTTTGACTTAATTCAAACAAGAAGTCTTTCGTGAAAAAAGAGCACACACAAAAAAAGCCCCTAAAACATCTCTCCAATGAGGTATCTACATGAAATGACTAACAATTTTTATTTATTTGAACCAATACTGTGGGCTAGGATGCTGTGTTTTGCAAGTGATAAAAATACTAAAGGAAAATGTTTCAATGTTTGGCTAATTTGTTTATAAAACTGCCCTTTTCCCCTTAAGAAACTTTGATAATTTAACATTTATGCTGTTATCTTTAACGAATGCCAGTTACAAGGGCAGCAACTCTGGATATTTCCATATTTTTCAAATTTAGATATTATAATGATATCAAATGGCTTCAATCTACAAAGCTATTACTCATTATTTCTATACATATTTTCTATACATGAAATAGAAATAATGAATAATAGAGGAATAATAAAATGTATTACTTACCTTTCCAGAAACGATCTTTTCATAAATCTGAATTGGTTGGTCTGCAAAGAATGGGGGGTAGCCAGCTGCCATTTCATAGATTAACACTCCTAGTGCCCACCAATCCACTGCCTTATTGTAGCCCTAAGAGAAACCAATACCAAATGTCAACTGGTAATTCCCTCAGCAGAGAATGAAGTCACAGATGACTTCAAAATGATTTTCAAGCCTGGGAAATTTTTTATTTTTATTTTATTTTAGTTTTAAATATTTCTTTTCTAAAAAATATTTTATTATTTTTAGAGAGAGGGGAAGGAAGGGAGAAAGAAGAGGTGAGAAACATGGATGTGAGAGAGAGGCATCCATCGATAACCTCTTGCATGCACCCTGACTAGGGATAGAACCTGCAACCCAGGCATGTGACCTGACTAGAAATTGAACCTTTTGCTTTGCAGTATTACCCCCAACCAACTGAACCACACTGGTCAGGGCAAGCTTTTTTTTCAAAAAAGTGTTAGTATTCAGGATAGAATGAAAAAATGACCTGATAAAAAATGTATCAGGTCAGGTTTAAATTAAATAAGGGAGACTTTCCCAATATTGGAATTGAATATTAGAAAATATTATTAAATCTTCTTTTGAAAATCATTAAGAATATTATGGGCAATAAAATATTTCTTATTTAAATTGGGATAATTTAGTTGTTACTCAACAATAGGGAGTAGGACCAAATTATCTCTTAAAGCCCACTTCAGATCTATGGTGTTATGAACCAGGTTTTCTGGAGAACGCTTAGGAATGTCAAAACTTTTAAAACAAAATAGTAGATATGAACTTTATAATAAAGAGTGGAGTTGAGTCCATTTATTGTTGGACTTTAGGATGGTAAATATCCTCAAGATAATCCCATCCACTTCACAGGATCTTATAAAACCTAAATGCTTATTTTGGAACCTTATAAATGTAAATATTCAAGGATACTTTAGCTACCTACTGTTTTGCTTCTCATCTCTAAAACATATACAGAAAAGATAATTCATGGGGTTTTGTGAGGACTATTTCAAATGAAAAGAAATAACGTGTATAAAAAGTGCACTGAGTGTGCTCGCTTGACCAGCACATATACTGAAATGGCCTGTGAACCAAATGTAGAATCTAAGGTTATTTGTTTTAAGATTTTATTTATTTACTTTTAGAGAGAGGGAAAGGAATGGAAAAAGAGGGGGAGAGAAACAGCAATATGTGAGGGATACATCAGTCAGTTGCCTCCCACACATCCCCAACCGGGGACCTGGCCCACAACCCAGGCCTGTGACCTGACCAGGAATCCAATGGGCAACCTTCTGCTTGCAGGCCAGCACTCAGTCCACTGAGCCATACCAGCCAGGGCTAAGTTTATTTTTAATTGGATTGTTTATTCATTTTAAATTTACTAAAATTAAGATGTAGAAGTATTTATAAAAAATAAATTAAAACATTAACATGTTTACATGAAGCTTGTTATCAACTATGACCAGTGTCAATTGGCACAAAAGATTATAAAAAAATAATTAAAAAAATAACTCCATCAAGGAGAGGAACGAGCTGAATTCTTGCCAGATCTTTCGTCAAATGTATGCTATAAATTACCTATACCACTCTCCATATTTCAATCTTTTCTTAAAGTTTTAGCTTTACGAATTATTTAGTTTTTAAATTATTCGCTAAAATATAACACAACAATATGGAGATTTCCTTTTCCTCTTTGTTCTGCTTCTGTATGCTTTTTTAAAGAGAGAGGCTAGTATAATAGGAATAGCACTTTGTTTTCCTAATGGAAATGGGCATTAACTTTGCTTAGTAATTTAACTCACTAATGATGTCATTCATTACAATATTTTTTATTACAACGAAAACATGTAATGTTGAACCAAATCCTTTGATTAAACTTTAGTTTCTATGTTTCAGATTGTATGCTAATGTTCATAATAAATATGCCAAATGCTTTTAATATCCTACGTATAGAGAATGCAAACAAATCCACAAGAAAAACTAAATTACAATAAATGGGAAAGGGGCATGAAATAATAATTCATAATATAAAAGAAATACCAAGTGGCTGTAAGTATTTAAAAAATCTAATAAAGATATGAGACTCTATATCATTTATTGCCTATTACCTTTGTAATGGTTTAAAAAAATAAGAGTATCCATTGCTGGAGAAAGCATGGTGAAATAGGCACTCACATATACTGCTGGTAGGAGTACAAAATGCTACTATCTTTTTAGAAGGCACTTTGACAACATATATCGAGAACCTTAAGAATGTTCATATTCTTTGACCCACTACTTTCACTTCTGAGAATTTATCCTAAAAAAAGCCTTGAAATGCAGACAAAACTGCATAAGCTTTTAATGCACAAAGATGTATAAGCTACTTATCACAGCTACTTATAATAGGAAAAAGTCAAAAAAGGAAATAACTTGAATATTCAACAGTAGAAGAACGGTGAAATACTTTGTGGTTATATTTGCAAATAAGACATTAGAATGATGTTTGCATGCTTCATATCAGTCAAGTGAAAAAAGCTGAATACAAAATTGTACATTCACTATATCACAACTATGATAACATGAATATAAAATAAAGTTTTTTTAAGGCTGTCTTTGGGTGGTAAGATTATAGGTTTTTGTTTCTTTATATTTTTCTGTATTTTCCAAATTTTGTACAGTGAACATCTATTACTTTGGCAAAATATATACATTTTTTTAAGTCTTGGTGTTTATTCTGTCATCATGTTGTTAAGTACACATTGATGCATGCCTTACATTTCTACTTTTTATATACTGACAGTGTGAACATACCTTGCTGAGGATTATTTCTGGAGCTAAATATTCTGGAGTGCCACATAATGTCCAAGTTCTGCCTTTAACTCTTTTGGCAAACCCAAAGTCTGTGACCTATAAAAGAAAAAAAAACTGTGAACATTATTATTTCACAATAAATGCATTTATTGTATTGAAGTTGAAAGTTTAAAATCAAGATTAAAATTAAAACCAGGAAAAATCAAATTAATTCAATGTAATTGAGGCTTATCCATGAGGGCCACTTTTTAGTGAACGTAGTTGAAACAACCCATGCTAAAGAACCTTTCCCTGACTCGCACAAAGAAACAAATGAACCACACAAATGGTCTTCATAAAAATAAAGCAGGGCTAGGAGTATCCCTTCAAATCCAATATGTCCTCCGCCATTAATTACACTATCAGAGGGGCAAAAGCATCATTGGAGAAATTGGATAACTGTACAAAAGGACCCTCCAGCCTATTAATAGCAGAAATGGATAGTAAACACTGCCGCCAGTCCAGTATTGGTAGGCGGGGCTCCTTCGGTAGCTGTGTTGGAATGTTAAAAAGCATGGACTCTGACTGTCTGCGTTCAATTCATTGTTTTCCTTTTATTTATTTTATTGTTGTTCAGTTATAGTTGTTCCAATTTTTCCCCCTGTTGCTCTCCCCCACCCCACCCACCCCACTCCCACAGTCAATCCCCACCCTGTTGTCCATATCCATGGGTCCTTTATGTATGTTCCTTAACTAGGCCCTGACTCTACCTGTGTGACCCTGCTGTGCCTTAGTTTCATCAACCTTAAAATGAGGAAAACAACAGTATTTACACTTTATGGCGTTATCAGGATTAAAAAAGATGATACAGATAAAAACACTTGGAACAATGCATGACACTAAATATGTGTTCACAAATTTAGCTATTACTAATTATGTATGCAAAAGTCTGTGGTCAGTTCACAAGTACAGATTACAGGAGATATAAACAAGGTCTATCCTTCATGGGATTTTTTTGTTCTTTGTAATAGCAGTGGAACTTTAAACTCTGTTTAAGTTATTAGGGATAAGTAATTTTCGCCTCAAAGAAAACAAAATCCTAATATTGGTAGTTGTCAAATACATGCAATTTTTTATCTAGTACTTTCTCAAATACATTATATATAGCATGTTCAGTTCATACCTGGATATAACCTTGGTGGTCAATTAAGAGATTTTCAGGTTTTAGATCTCTGTAGATGAGGTCTAGTGAATGGAGGTACTCGAATGTTAGCACTATCTGAGCTGCATAGAACCGTGCATGGGGTTCACTACAAAGAAACAAAACATTGGATTTCTGTAAAATAGGTTAGCACATACTAATCAGTAGCTTATACAATAAAATTAAAATGGGGTTGAAGTATTTTGGGAGTCAAAAGTATTTTTTCTTTTAAATATATGTAACAAATCTTGTTAGTTTCTGAACATTTTAAATCTCTAAATTATCTTCAGATAATGCTTTGATAGACAGTGGGCACCATACTTTGAAGAAAAATATAACTTTCAAAATTGTCATATTTTAAATCATTATTGACTATAGTAGAAGGTACAGGGACATTGCGACTGTCAATAGATTCCATTTACATTTCTCATAAATTTCAAGTGCTTAAAGACTTCTACTCTATAGAAAGTCTCTTTAACTGCAATAATCTGCAGATTAATGCTATTTTACCTAGACTGTTCCTATTACAAAAATGATACATGCTCATTATAGAAAAAATTTCATAAAATATTAATGAAGAATAGACATTCTTAATCCCATCAGAAACCATAGATACAATCCTGGTGTCTGGATTTCCACATATCCTACTGTGCATGTTTATACAGATACAAAAACATAGGAATCTCTATATTTGTGTAAATATGCACAGTTCTTACATGCAGAGATTAGATCAGTGTGATCTTGATGTCACTTTCTGAGTATTATTCCAAAAGGATATAATTACATTTTAGTTTGAGTTCATATTTCATTTCTAGTGTATACACTGAATTTTGCTAATCTGCCTGACAAATTACAATGACTTCCAGATTTGTGTCATCAATGAACAACCTTAATTATGAATAAAATTTTCCTCAAGATGGCTGGCATGAATATGATCTAGGAGGACCAGAAATAGAGATTCAAAAAAAAGATGATCTATGCTACTCCTTTCCCTTGTTACTATATTTCCAGGTCCTAGCCTGGAACACATCAGGTGCTCAGTAACTATTTGTTGAATGAATTAATATGTAAAGAAAAGTACATTTGGGGGCAATATTTTATAATACCCTTCCAGTGTCGGCTCCATCTCAACTGTAACAATCTACATCATATATCATATGACAAAGAATGAGAACACTGTGAAGGGAAATTGGGAGAATCATCTTGGTCAGTCATTCCTAAAGTTTGAAATGTCTTGTCCACAAATATCTCTATCATTTTCTCTGTAAATGTAAGATGGACTTACCATCTTAAAAGTAAATATGTTTATCATCAAAAATATATGATACATTCAGCATTTTATATTAATTTCCACACACTGGTGTTTGGAGAAACACAAACATTACATAGATCTATAATCAAATTGTTCAAAGGTGAAAAAATGTTCTGTAGGAAAATTTAATGTATAGTAGCTAAAGTCTAGACAGATGCTATGTAGTAGAAAATCATAATGATTCCACTGATTCTGATCAGAGCTATATACAGGATTGGGCAAAAGTAGGTTTACAGTTGTTAATAAGGAAAATAATATAATAATTATAAATAACGATATAAGAATAAACTGTGTTTTGCATACTCACAACTGTAAACCTTCTTCTGCCCAACGCTGTATGTCGTATGTGGGAAAGGTTAGAAAAGATAGTGCGTCAGTATGAATTATGTCAATCAATATGCTTTCCTCCTAGTACCAAGTCAAGCATTAAAGAAATAAAAATGTGCGAGTTGCAAATAAGTTAATAATTATAGAAAATGGACAAAATATAGTTTAAATCTTTTTTATTGTTGTTCTATTACAGTTGTCCCATTGTCTCAATATTCCCGTTGCTCTCCCTGCCCCGTCCCCCTGCTAATCCCCTCACCTCACTCCCACAGTCAGTCCCCACCCTGTTGTTCATGTCCATCGGTCATTTGTACTTGTTCTTTAATTAGGCCCTTCCCCTCCTTTCCTCCCTCATCCACCGCCCCAGTCTCCTCTGGCCCCTGTCAGTTTGTTCCTCGTTTCCATGCCTCTGGTTCTATTTTGCTTGCTTGTTTGTTTTGTTCAGTAGGTTCCTGTTATAGATGAGATCACACAGTATTTGTCTTACTTCACTTAGCATAATATTCTATTTTTTGAAGACAGATATAGGTGTGGTTTTTTAGGGCAAAACTGTGAATTATTATAAGGGAATATGAGAATTCTGGGCCTGCTTGGACAAGGGGTGGTAGGATAAAAGGACGACATGAGGTGAAAGGAAATCATTAAAGATAAACCGAAGTTACTTTGTATTAACACAGTGCCTGACACATTATTAGGTGCCCTGTATATATTATGTCAATAAATGAATATTGGCTTAGGCCTCAGGAAACTAAAATAGCTCTAATGGTGGCCATTACTGAAGAAATGTCATAATAATCTAAGTCTGTCATCATGTTTTTATGAATCTAATGACCATCATGAGTTCCATTTGAACTCATACTTATGTGTTAATTATGCCAATATATAATGTACTGAATGAAGCTGTACCTGATCTTGGTTTCAGTTTCATTCTATGAGTGATTATTAATGAATAATAGTAGATTAAAAACTATTATACATGGGTAAAGATAACAATCTATAACCTATTTTAATAACTGTGTGACTTTATTAGTAATTATCTAATGAGGTACAAAATCTTTTTAAATTACATACGTATTTTTAAATGTCAACATAGTAACAACATTGAGAATTACATATTGCAAAACAAACTTTTATAACCTCATAACCTATTATTACCTTTTCTATATATTGCTTTATCTTTATCCTTACACAAACCTCTCCCCTAGAGTTGTGTTAATTAGTATTTGTCTCATAAATACTGGTTGAAATTCAAGTAATGTTTGCATTTCTTGAAATTCTTCAAATCATGAATTTCAAACAATGCTTACTAATGGTAGAATATTTACACTGTTATCATAGTGCTTTTATTTGATTTTTAAAACTCAGTATAGAGCCTCTTATTAATGTTTCCATGTAATTTGTCATATACTAAAATATTACTAAATAAAATGAAATAAATTTCTGGCATTGACAATAATTTAAAAATTTGGTTTAAAACAAATACACAGCAAGATTTTAGGAGAGTAAACTATTAGTTACCTGAACCTTCCAATTCTTCTTAGATGTGAAAACATTTCACCCCCAGGGACATATTCCATAACCATATATAAGTTAGAATTATCCTATAAACAAATATAAAGGATAAATAAAACAAAATTATGAAACTAAGATTATTTCTCAAGGAAATATTTTAAGATAACACCATGTTCAATTAGAAAAAGACAAATTAAAAAAATCTATCCGACAGATGACTGACATTGGGAAACAGAAGAGTAAATAGTAAGTTTTTCTACACTGGGGCACTCATTCCCCCTTTCCCTCCCCACAACCGCACCCCTGGTATTCTTGCTACAATTTCTTTTGAGATTTTTGCTATTCTTCCTCTTGCAGGGATCATTTAACTCTTAAACAATGAAACGCTGCAGCAATAACTTAATGCTATAGTGTGTACAAAGGAGTAACTAGGTTAAAAAACACTTTAAAAAACTAAGAATATTTAAATTTTATGTACATTAGATCACAGAAATTAATGACTGTTAACACCATCAGGAAATCACAGGTCTTTATTTGATTTAAAGAATAGAGGAAAAAGAAAAAGAGATTAAAATGTTTCATATGAATCATTATTGCAGAGAAATGGTCCAAGGAAATAAAAAGCTGCCAACTTATAGAATAAATCTTTTGCAAGTTCATGAGACACTTGAGAGAGTCAAAATCTGTTCTAACTCATATAAATGAAAAGACTAGAGCACAAATGACTAAGAGAAAAAAGATAGTGAGATTTTGGCAGAAAATGTTCGGGTGAAAAAGAAGGTATGAAGGTATACTCATGTGCATGAATGTAAGAACTGCTTTATTAAAATTTCACTATGGATTTTGTTCACTGAAATATTTGATTTTATAGTATCATTTCATGAGAAATTACATATTGCCTTTCGCAAATTCCCCAGGGAGAACCAAAACCTTTTCAAATGTTACTTAAATTTATACATATAATAGGAATTTAATTACATAAAATCTAAATATATTACTTTTGTTTTTTAACATTCTCCAGGTTTATCATCTGATTTAGATTCCTATTATAGCTTTATATTTTAAAAAATTATGAGGATGAAAATATTTTATTTGTATATTAGTAAAATTTACCTTAAAAGAATACTCCAGTCGAACGAGAAATGGAAAATTCACTGCTTGTAATATTCTTTTCTCATTCAAAGTATGCTCTATTTGCTTCAGTTTAACAACCTGTAATTGAGAGATAAATATATTAAATAAATTTAAGTGAAGTTTAAAAGCTACTATAATTTTATAATAAGAAATTAAATAAATGTTTTCCATATAATAATGAACTTGTATAAAACAAAATCTCAAGAGTTGGGTTCAGATGATAGTAATAACTACCGATGAGGCTTATCAGATTCAACTGAAAAAAGTCCTCTATAGGATTTAAAACTTGGTCTTAAGATGGTAAAGCAAGATTTTCAGTAAAGAAGCAAGAGCTACGAAGACTGACTCATGGTAATTACTTAAAGAATTAATATGTTAAAATATTTACCTCCTAATGTCTTACAGTCCACTAGAGGAGCTGGCACAAATAACTGCAATGAGTAGATATTGATTTAAATCTTCAGGTCAGCAAGGAAATTAAGAATTGAGAAAAAGCCAATAATTGAAAAACAGTGGATAAAAATGAACAATCTGTTCATTTCATAATACCTGAATAAATACAAGAACAAGTCCTAAAGATTCAATTTGCACAGCCACAAAAGACGACACACCAAATATTGGTTAAAAAAGAAAACTACTTGTCTTTATAACAAACAGATTATTAGGATCAATCAAGCTTCCTCTGGATGGTCTACTCAATCATGTACATAGCAGCAGGAAGCAACTTATCCTGACTTCATGAAGAGCATGATTCTACTCCAAACGTGATTCTATTTTTTTAATTTAAGAAAAGGTGACATTAGGGAGATATAAATAATCATATTACATGTGTGTAAATCATTAGAAGGTGGCATTCTTTCTTGATAGAGGCTTATTGTCAATGTGGCGTAAAGACAGAATTCAAGAAGTTGAACATGAATAAGAAAGGCAATTGAAGAATCATCCAGTAATTAGTATATACAATTATAGTATAGAAATAATTGACTAGGACTCAGAAGATCTGTGTTCTAATCTAGGTCTTCTTTCAATCAGTTTTGTGACTTTGGAAATGTAATTTCAACTCTTAGGATATCAGGATCAGGTTTCTTTTCTTTCTTTCTTTCTTTCTTTCTTTCTTTCTTTCTTTCTTTCTTTCTTTCTTTCTTTCTTTCTTTCTTTCTTTCTTTCTTTCTTTCTTTCTTTCTGTCTTTCTTTTATGAACAGTGGTTGGATCACATCTGACTATATTCTAACTAGTTATAGAACCAATTAGTCCATACTTAACACAATAAATTATGAAACTCTGGAGTATTAGTATTGCTTTGTGTTTACCCTTTTTTTATAGACTACTTTTTTTTAGCAGTTTCAGGTTCACAGTAGAACTGAGTGGAAGGTACAGAGATTTCCCATATACCTCCTTCCCCCAAACATGCATAGCCTTCCTCATTATCAACATTCTCCACCAGAGTGGTACATTTGTTACAGTTAATGAACCTATATCGATGTATTATTATCACCAGGAGTCCATAGTTGACATTAGGATTCACTCTTGGTGTTTTACATTTCATGGATTTGGGCAAATGTATAATGGCATGTATCATCATTATAATATCATACAGAGTAGTTTCACTGCCCTAAAAACCCTCCGTACTCCACCTGTTCATCCTTCCCTCCCCACTAAGCCCTGGAAACCGCTCATCTTTTTATCATCTCCATAGTTTTTCCTTTTCTAGAATGTCATATAGTTGGAACCATACAGTAGGTAGCATTTTCAGATCAGCTTCTTTCACTTAGTAATATGTACTTAAGTCTCCTTCATGTCTTTTCATGGCTGGATAGTCCATTTCTTTCTAGCTCTGAATAATATTCCACTGTCTGAATGTACAACATGCATATGTGGGGCATAACAATTAAAAATAGAAATGATTCCAAGATATATGAACTGGCAAAGCACATATGCTTAATTTTTAAGTTAACTTAATTAAAATCTAACTAATTAAAATCTAATTTAATTTTAAATATCTGTATCTACTACATATAAGGCATAATAACTGCAATAGAGATAAAGACAACAGAGTGTCTGCCTTCATGCTCCATAACATCTATTTGGAAGTATGATGCATGAATATGTGAATAGCAATATAGAACAATTTCCATTTGAGTTATGTCATAAGTGTTCAGAGGGGAAAATATACAAAGGTAAGTCTGAGCACTAGTTCCATTGGACTAGAGCCTAGGACAGTGCCGCTCATGTTTTGGTAATGAAGCATCCCTAAATGACAGAGAAAAATTAACAAGTATCCCTGGGGGGGTTTTTTGTCCACATTTTATTTCAAAATTCAAATAACATTTATATTTACTTCTTAATATTTCTTTTGGTTTAAATACATATACTTAAAAGCATTCATAAATAATTACTTATCAGCTGCTTTATTTTTTTAGCCAAGCACTTGAGGGGTTATTAATAAGGAAGATAGACCACATAACATTGCATACTCTCCTACCTGACCCAGCATAGCACCATCTACTTCTATGGGGAATTTCAGGTAGAGGAGTAGAGTAGAGAGAAGATGGAGGGGAAGAGTGTGAGATAATACTAGAGTGGAATTTGGAAGAAAACTGTGAAAGCTCTGAAAGCAGGCTGCAGAGTTCTGACTTGATTTAATAAACATCAGGAAGCTTTCTGAGTAAGTGAGATGATATGATACAGTAAGAAAACTTTAGCAATGAAGAAGGTGAATTAGTGCAAGGGGAAAACTGATATTGTGGAAATTAATTAAGGTGTTTCTGTGAAAGCCTGGTCACTATCAGTGATGGACCAATTAGGTGGTGGCAGAAAAAAATTTTAAGGATAACAAATACATTTGAAAGGAAAAATTAACAATAAGTATAGGAATAGAAATCAGACAAATCGAGGTCAAATTCTTGGTTCCTCTTACTAGCTGTTTGATTTTGAAAAAAATTACTAAATAGAAAGGTTCTTGGTTTAAACAGGAGATTAATGCCACAGAAAGTTGGTGTGAAGATTCACTGATACAATAAAGTGCCTTGCAATGCTTGACATATAGTATAGAATAAAAACAGGGGATTTCCTTAATTTTTATACTGATTTTCTTCCCCTAACTCCTAAGATAGGAGAAGCCAAAAATAATTAATTGGAAGATCTGTAACTTCATTAACAGAAAAGAAGATTATGGAGTATTATTTTATTACTTAGTTTTAGCAAATGATAGTAAATAAACTTGAAAAAAAATCAGAATATAGTCTTTGCCCTAATTCTGAATAGCTCCAGAACATTGCTATAGAGCAGCCATTTTCAACATTGTTCATCTCATGGTACACATAATTACTAATATTCTGCAGCACACCAAAAATATATATATTGTTTGACTATCTGACAAAAAATAGGTATAATTTTGATTCATTCACACTAGCTGGCTATTGTTGTGTTGCCTCTTATCATTTTTTCATTTGACCATCTAAAGAAAAAGAGGTCAATGCCCCTGACTAAATTGTCAGATATTGCATGTTTTCAAAATCCTTGCAGCACACCAGTTGAAAATCGCTGCTATAGAGAAATAACTTAAAATGGCAGCTATTCTTCTCAGAAGTTCTCTTTCGTCATGATTTATTCCCAAGACAGCCTTCTCAGTAACTAACTCAACAAGCCACTGTCTTACCAAATAAGAATTTTAAAAATTCTCACCTATAGAACCAACCATGTGAGAAAACATATTTGCCAATGATACCTCAGACAAGGGTTTGATCTCCAAAACATATAAAGAGCTCACACAACTCCACTCCAGGAAGACAAACAATCCAATTAAAAAATGGGCAAAGGACCTGAACAGACACTTCTCCAAGGAAAACATACACAGGGCCCAGAAACATATGAAAGGATGTTCATCATCACTAGCCATCAGAGAGATGCAAACCATTTCACACCAGTCAGAATGGCCATCATAAACAAATTAACAAACAACAAGTGCTGGTGAGATTGTGGAGAAAAGGGTACACTGTTGGTGGGAATGCAGACTGGTGCAGCCACTGTGGAAAGCAGTGTGGAATTTCCTCAAAAAGCTGAAAATGGAACTGCCTTTTGACCTAGCAATTCCACTGCTGGGATTGTACCTGAAGATTCGTGAAATGCCAATTCAAAAGAAACTATGCACCCCAGTGTTCATAGCAGTGCAATTTACAACAGCCAAATGCTGGAAGCAACCTAAGTGCCCAACAGTAAATCAGCAGATCAAAAGACTATGGTATAATCCTTAGTTTTACAATGCTTAGAAGAATTGAGAGTGGGAGGTGGGCGTGGGTGGGGCAGGGGAAAGTGGTGGCGGGAAAATGGAGACAACTGTACTTGAACAATTAAAAACTAAATTAAAAAAAAAAAACTATGGTACACTTACACAATGGAATACTATGCAGCAGAAAGAAAGAAAGAGCAACTACCCTTTGCAACAGCATGGATGGAACTGGAGAGCATTATGCTAAGCGAAATAAGCCAGGTGGTAGAAGACAAATAACATATGATCTCATCTATAAGTGGAACCTAATCAACAAAACAAACAAGCAAGCAAGTTATAACCAGTAACATTGAAATAAAAAACAAACTGACAGTAACCAGAGAGGAGGAGGGAGGGGGTAATGGGGGAAAAGAAGGGAGAGGGTCATCAAGGAACACATATAAAGGACACATGGACAAAGTCAAAGTGGGGAAGAATTGAGGGTGGGAGGTGGGAAAGTGGTGGCGGGAAAATGGAGACAAATGTACTTGAACGACAATAAAAAAAGAAAATTCTCCCCTATATATTTTCAAGTATAAAATTACTTTTTGTAAATCTTTTAATATTTTATGACTAAACACATTCTGTTAATTCCTTAAGAAAAATAACAAAATATTAAGGGCTATACAGATAATACATTTTAATGGCAGGTTTAATCAAAAGTATAAATTTGAAGCATTTTGTTGATGTTGTACTACCAACACAAGTATACAAATCACTTATCCTCTGTGAGACTCAATAATTACCTCATCTAAAAAATTAGGACAAGAACTAGTTGCTCTCTACGAGCTCTGTGCTCAGATTGTTCAAATTAGACTGTAGAGCTCAAGGATGAGTTGAAGCTTGGGGAAGAGTACAGAGTACACAGGGAGAGTGCACAGAACACAAAAATGAGAAGAAGGAATAGTCCAGATATTGGGATTAGCAATCTTTAACGAGTAGACAGAAGGGAAAAAATAAAACTAAACAGGAAAAGGCACATAAAAAAGAAGAGCCCAAAGAGGCGGGATCATAATTGGAAGAGCACAGGGACCCAGAAGTCCAGGGACGAGACAGTTTCCAGAGAGTAGTGAACACAGTTGTAAACTCTAAAAAGGTCACATGAGACTAGCAAAAAGAGCCCACAGGATTGGTGACCCTTGACAGAGACATTTTAGTGGAGTAGCAAGATGTTGGAGATTAAGAAGGAGGCCCCTAAATTATTGTGGGCTAAATAATTAATAGGAAGTGAGTTAGTGTATCAAGTGACTAAAGTAGTTTTTCAAGAAACATGGTTAGAAAGAGACCAGTACACAAAAATGAATGATTATATGTGTATGGGGTGTATTTAATTTTAGAGACCTAAAAAGCCATTACTCCTTTCATATTAGAGGTTAATTTTGATTTTTGTTTTAAAGCAGAGATTAGATTAGAACTACAGACCACTCTAACACTGCATTGTCCAAAATGGTAGCCACTAGCCATGTGTGATTATTTAACACTGGGAATGTGGATAACCCAAATAGAGATGCATTAAACATAAAATATACATCAGATTTGGTATGAAAAAAGAATTTAAAATATCTTAGTAATTTTATATTATGTACTGCAATGATAATATTGTGTATACAATTGGACTAAATAGAACCTATTATTAACATTAATTCCAACTATTTCTTTTCACTTTTTAAAAATGAAGCTACTAGAAAATTTTAAATTACATACATGGTTCATATTATAGTTCTTAGATTGCATCAATAGTCTAGCGACTATCTGTAACCCTGTTTCCTCTCCGTTTTCTTATCTATGTATCCCAGGAAGCCAAAATATAGTTCTTGGGAATATAATATCTATAATATATCAAGATTTGCCATTTTTCTTTTACTTTTCCTTAATTTTAAGTGATTACTAAGAAAAGAGAAGAGCTTAATATATAAAACATGAATAACTAGATATCCTGATTCTTTGGATTTAACAGTATGTAAAAACACTTAAAATTATTTTTAAATTTTTATTGAGACATAATCGACATGTGACATTACATTAGTTTCAAGTGTATAACATAATGATTTAATTTTTAATAGTATATAGGTTTTCAAATTTTACCTGTTTTTATTAACGTTTTTAATTAAGTAAACACGTTAAACAAGAGGGGTTCTACTGTCAATTAAAATAAAACATAAAATAAAATCACTAAATATCTGTTACCTTAATTTAAGGATCAAATAATTTATTCCTGCATTTTTCCACAAGGCAGAACATAGTAGACTGTTTTTTACAGGTTAAATTCAATATTTTGTTAGTAAACATACACATACCTATAATGCATAAATAATTATTGAAATAATGTATTCCTATGTACTAAAACTATAATTATGTGTCATATAGTCATAATAATAAGAATGAAAATGAAATGCAACAATAAAATTATTTGAAGGTGTCCTTGGTTAAGTTGTTATATTGCATCTATTTAATAATCTAGCTGATAAAACTGAAGTTTATCCTTCAAGTAAGTAACAGCAAAACCACAAACCTTCTGCTTATCTAAGATCTTCATGGCGTAATACTGTTCGGTGGCTTTATGTTTCACCAACATGACTCTTCCAAACGAACCTGTTCCAAGGGTTTTTTTCCTTTCAAAATCTTCCAGGCCGGCATTATTCTACACATACATAAAAAATAAAATCAACTTTAAAATGAGAAATTCTCTGTCCTGACTGGTGTGCCTCAGTGGATGGAGCATTGGCCTACAAACCAAAAAGTTGCTGGTTCAATTCCTAGTCAGGGCCCATGCCTGGGTTCCAGGCCAGGTCCCCAGTTGGGGGTGTGCAAAAGCCAACCAATCTGATGTTTCTCTCATACATCTATGTTTCTTTCACCCTCTTTCTCCCTCCCTCCCCTCTCTCTAAAAATAAATAAATTAAGTCTTTAAAATTAGAAATTCTCATAAGACTAGGATAACAATAATAGATTAAGTGACAATCAGAATAGATAATTTAATTTATAACCATCCATTTAAAAATAATTCAAAAGATTACTGAGATTCCAAGATATTGGTTCTATTTTTCCCTTTGAATATGAATGGCTTTAATATTTGAGAAGAGAATTATATTTCAAAACAAAGTATAATAGTAATGGGAGGAAATAAGATCCTCAGCTAAAATATTAAAGGTCATATTCCAATATATATTCTTAGCATTGGAAGAAATTCGTTTCATGTTTTAACAATTATGAACTGACCAGAAGCACACCGACAAAGACAATCATGAAAGCATACAGTCTTAGTGCACTTGCAAGTAACTGGAATGAATAGATAAGCCGAGGGGTCAGAGTCCTTTCATTAGAGTTACCTCTGAAAAAAGCACCATGTAACTTCATTTCTATCTTTATAAGAGCTCATAGAACTAGAGAATAACAGTGTGAGCAATTCTAATAGCTTTCTTTCTGATGTTATAATAACCCAGTATTACCTAAAACAGTAACAATAAGAAAAGAAGAGTTTCTCATTCGAACAAAGATAACCAAGAGTCAGAGTCCCAGAACAATAATCAGCCTCTTTTTTCTCTTTGAATAGATGCTTTGTTACAAGCAAACATCTTTGTTTGCCTTTGACTATCACACAGAAACAAAGAACTGGAAGCATCAATCTATTGAATTTGTTGCTGCCACAACAAAATAAAAAAAAATACTAGGAACAAATTATGTGCTAAACAGCAGTAAGTAATAATTGCTGACCAATTTGTTTAATAGGTTTTCATTACCAAGATCTCTGTAAAATCTTAGAAAAATTATTTCCGGTTTGTACAGGGTTTAGCTTGAGAAAAATATGGTGAAATATGACTCTTGTATAAGTGAAGAATCTGGATAGCTATTGAAGTCCACTGTAGTTGGATTTTGTCTTCACTGAGAATCAAACCTTGCCTTTGGAGACACAACATAGCTTCTTCTTAAATCACAGAGAGAGCAAACAACTCTAAGTTTTTACTTATAAAACCTGTTTTCATCATATTTTAATTTCAGGTTTCCAATAATTTTAAATTACCATGAGAGTCTATGTCAAACAAAAATGTCCAAATTATTATTAAATTATTTAAACTTATGAATTAATATTTAATATTTGGCTTTATGAACATAGATGGGTTGAAATGTTTAATATAGTTCCCAACTAAATAAACTTCATAAGTAGACCACAAAAAATTCCTTTTTGCTAGTCATTGCTTTCACACAAATATGCTATCTTCTTCGCCTCACTTAATGTTTCATGTTAGATAATGTCTAACTATCACTTGAGTGATTATGTTTTAAATTATAAGTCATGCTATAAATCTTGATAATGAGGGACTCTTTATAAAGCATAACATTTATTTAAATAAATATTTCTTTAGTGAAAAAATATTGAAGTAAAAGATTTTTGTGCTATGGAAAAGGTTTTAAAAATTTAATTTACTATTAAAGTTTATTAATTATTTATAATTTCAAAAAGATTTTTTACAAGTATATATGACTTTTTATATATAGTTTTTAGATCTTAGTTAAGATCTAAAGTACTTAAATTATATAAAACTTACCTCACCAAAATGGTTAGGAAAGGACCCCTGTGTTTGATATGTTATCAACAGCCAAGTGTTTGTGATACAAATTTAAAACTGCACAATAGGATCCCTATTGTTGCATTAACAAAAATAATATGCTAGCATAGGCACAAATTAAAACTTTTATATTAGAAAATATCAAGAGTTTGTAGCAGCTAGGAATTAGTGTCAACATTTATAATCAGTTATTATACTGAAAATTAGTTCCTTCTCTAATTTACATATACATACAATTATTAATTTTTTATTAATAAACTAAAACAATGTTATGGCAAAAATTCCCATGTTAACTCTATTTATTAATGCAACTTGAAAATTAAAGTTTCTGAAAGTAGTAAGTTATTTAGGCAAGAATCATGACTTTACTTAACACAGGATTTTTAATTCATAGAAAATTTTAAATATTTCTTACCTGAGCAGGATTTTCCCATTTTCTTAAGAAGTCTTCTTTGGCTTTGGCTAGAAACTCTTTCACTAAAAATAAAATAAAATAAAATAAAATTTAAAAAATTGTCTTGTAACAATATTCATGTTATATATAAATATACACACTTTAAACAACACAGGCTCATGTCAACTATGGTCACCATATGGTCACCATGTGTATTTACAACCAAGATGCACTAGGGGATTATTCAGTTTCTCTAAACAGGATGCAAACATTTTCTCAGACTTCTAAAGTTCTCTAATATTTTTCTATGGATCACTTAGATAATTTCAAATCTAATAATAAAAATACTAATAACATACCCAAAAGTAATATAAAAGGGTTAGAACAGTCTAAAACAAAATACCCATTGTAAAGAAACCATCAGTGATAGTTTAAAGGCATAAAAGAGCCTTTAAACATAAGAACTGAAAACATCTGGAGAATGCAAACTTGTTGATTTGTGGAGTTTCAAAAATAATTGATTTTGACAACGGGTTATTTTCAGGTATAAGAATAAGAATTTATGTCATTACATTTTGTTTTCTCTACTACAGACTAAAACACAAAGAATGTCCACAAAGACTTAAAAACAAAACTCCACAAACAAACAAAAAACTCTCTAAAGAGCTTAAAAACCTCATTCTAAATCTGGAGCAAAAATGTCCAAATGACTAATTTTAAATGTACACTGAAGTAAAGCAAATCAAAACCAGATGTTTATATAGTGATTAGTAATAGCCATATTATTTTATAGAGCTGCAGTTTGAAGTTTTAAATTTGTTAAATGAGGAATCATTTTAAAAGATACCTCTTTTTCATTGGCCTTCCACAAAGTTATTAATAATGATTTGTTTACAAACAACTTCAGGTGTTTAAAAACACATAATAGAAAAGAAATTCCAGGAAGACAGAATGGCATAAACAATATGCATCCTTGTTCCCAGTTAGCTATGCGAGCAAAACCGGATACACAAGAAATGATTATTTTAGTCTTTTGTTCAGAAAATTACCAATATTTCTCTGATACATGAATCTGTAAAGAAAGAATAAAATAGCATGAAATAGTATTTAAATAATGTTCATATAGTAAAAGGCGATACAGAGTGAACATAGAATTTCACGCTGGCATTTATTTCCGATGTGCTAACAGCGATGACGATGATAGTGGGGGTGGTGAGGATAATGAAAAGACAAAAGCGGAAGTGAGGGGCTCACAAATTCTTTAATATGATCATTTTAATAATGTAGTAGTATTAAAATGAGACATTTTAGGATACACAAAATTATTCCCTTTTATCCCCAGTGTAGTACCTTTCCCAAAACAGTGCTACTAGACAAAAAGGCTATTATTGGTATTCTAATTCTTTTGAGATTTCAAAATGGTGGTAACAGGCACCAAGAGCAGACATTTATTTCACTACTTTATATAAGCTGTCATTTGTATTTTGCTGTTAAAATATTCTCAGAATACCTATTTTAGAAGGCTTGAGAAAGATAAATTTTAAAATTAGAATTTTCTCATTGTATAGAAATCTTATCCACTAAAACAACGAATCAAATAATTGCACCTACTTATGCAAAATGATCTAATTTCTCCTGGGGGTGGATTTGGGGGTGGAAAAATCTTACATTTTCTTGAGTTTAGGATGGTTTAAGTCATCCTACTTCTAAAAGTTAATGTACTTGTTACAATTGATTTTATAAGTAAGATTTTTTTTGTTATGGAGCAGACATATCTGCATATGGCACTGACATGGAAACAACACCTATAAAATAAATTAAAAACACAACTTATTGCTAAATGCAACTGTGGCTTTTAAGAAACAACTTACAATTCCCAAAATATGTCTGATTTTTTGGAAAAAATATTTTTAGTTATCTTCTATTTATAGAAATTGCATATCAAGTTGCAGTATAAACTTTCCAGATGCCTGTCTGAATGCAGATAATTTGGAGACAAGAAGGAGGATCAAAGCTAAAAAAAACCCCTAACATCCTCTTTCAGCTTCTGTCACTTCCTGATAAGATCTGGAGTTAAGAAAACGTGACTGGTCAAAGGAAGAATGGGCAATATTTGCCAATGGTGGTAAGTTGAAGGGTAAGTTTCCTTTTCCCTGCCTGGTGAATGAGCTAGAGGAAAAATTTCAGGTACTATTTAATTTTATTCACTAACAGGATATTCAGGGAATTCGATATATTCTCTGTACTCATCAATATTCTCGTCAATATTCCAAGTTTACTGTTAAGTAGCACTGTAGGAACTAAATAAACATTTTCATAAAAGTCTTGTATAAAGATATCAGAAATGGGTATAAATCAAATATATTTAATTTTGTGAATTATTTCAAAAAGTAAAGAGATTTCTTTTTAGAGTAAAGGATAAGCATTAATTATAATGCCATTAAAGAGTTCTAAGAAGAAAACTCTGCTCCTGCAGCACTTTTTGTCACATAAGTATACATAAACACATGAAATCTCTAGTTTATAAGTTTATAGGTGTACCATTTTTACCTGAAAGATTAACAAAGTTAGCTCTTTGTAAAAATATAAATCTTATAAACACCAAAAACAAAATATTTCACAACAGTCTGGATTGTGAATAACTCTAAAACAATAGGCAGTTTAGAACGACATGTATTTGCTTTGAATTTTATTATTTTTAGACAGTGGTCAATTTAACTTTATAAATTCTTTTCTCCAGTTAGTTTTGATATTTATACCAACTGACATAAGGTGTTGGCAGCTAATTAATAAAGTAAGTGGTGAGAGAGAGAGCCAAAATTAAACATTGCAGCATATTTAATCCAGAGTTCCTTATAAAGAATATATTAAAAGTTCTCTTTTTTGTTTGTTTTCTTGTTATGTTTTAATATATAAGCTATATCTATACATTACCATTTACACCAATGTGATATCTTAAAATAGCCACAGGTTTTGGAGCTTGGTACATCTGAATTAGAATGTTGATTTTAATACTTAGCTACACAATCATGGATACCTATCTAAAAGCATCTAACAATGATTAGGAAAAAATATCTTACAAAAGGATTTTTCTGCAAATATATTTTGTTTTGTATTGATTAATAATGGAGCAAACTAGGTTCTACAAAAATGAAGACACATCACATACCAACACAATTTCTCTCTGAAGTGTACATTTCAACTACATTTATTTTCCAAATAAACTTATTTCCTCTTCATTTCGTATTATTAAAGAGTCTATCACATTGCACTCTAAAATCAGCCTACCAAAGGAATCTCTATATTCACTCAGGGTTGGTTTGTACGAATGTTTACCCACATTCACGAGATGAAGCAAGCAGAAACAAACTGCCAATTTTTGTGCATTTCCATAAGTACATTAAAAAACTAATTCTTATCACCCTCAAAATATTTTTGAATATGTTTATACATAGGACATAGTTTAAAAATTAGATTACAAAGTTCATTTTAAACATTAGGAAATTTGTTAGAAATTCAAGTATGGCATGTCTTTATTTCACATTATTCAAATAATTCTACAATAAATAAGAATGCTTTATTTATTACATTTAGTAAATTTATTAAATATTTTGGGATTCTGTGTTAAATAAACTACATTATTGCTTATTATAAAAAGAGAATGTTGTCAGTTATAGTATGCCATTATCCAATGATTAAGAGGTTTCATTCATATTTTTAAGAACAGTTTAAAAAATATTACTATACAGATTACAACTACTCCAGATGTTGAGTTCTCCCATCTCTTTGTAATGAGATAAATGTCACTTTCATCTTTTATACCTCTTTATAATAAAAGCCTGACATTATTTCATTTTTATAATGGGTGTGAGAAAAGTAGAAGACACACAAACAGAAAATAGAATATATAAACTTCCTACCATAAATACCCAATTAAATATCAGCTGTTTTATTCAAAATGTATAGCAGTGTATTTTCTTTCAAAAACCATTCATTGACCTAGGTTATCCAATTTAAGTGGAGTGTACGCATCTGTCTTCTGCTACACTGTACAACTCCTGCTGTTTCACAATGCTGTATTTGTTGTTTCTAAAATATCACTCAAGACACTGTAATATAAACCATTTCTATAGCTAAAACTTAACATTAAAACTAAGCAAACCATTTCGTTTATTAACTTTGTAAAAAATAAGATGTTTATTAACTTAATATACTTTATAAAAATATAACTTTATGAAGAGCATAACAACTTGTAAACAAACAAAGAAAATCTTGGTATCTTTTTTAAAATTAAAAAGTAGTTAGTTGCCTACCAGATACTTCTGAAGAGGAGCAAGCTTGTATCCAAAAAAATAAATTAAACAATGATTAAATGACACTCATAAAAACAACACAGTAGCATGAAATCACTTACACACATTTTCCCAGAATATTATATACAGAAGTAAAACAATAATGTAGAAACTCAACTATCTGTCTGAACATATTCAAATAGGACATTTAAAAATTAAATGGTATAGAAATAAATTCAATAATTACTGTTGAGTGTCCAAATCAATACCATTATAATTCTTCTTAAAACTGCTAACAACACCTTTAACTTCTCTTGGTAATAGTGCTAATAATATTAAGTAGCGTATATTGAAATACACATCCTATAACTATTGCAATAATATCTCTGGACTTTTGTTATTTATTGAAAACTCTACTGAGGAAAGAGACTCTGAAGTGCAACCTTTTAATGCCCTTCAGAAAAACATTAGTGTCTTTCAGGCATCTTATTTCCGTGGTACTGGTTTAACAATCTTTTCAACAACATTTACTGAGTACTGTTTAGTTGTTCCAGAAACTGATCTAGGCTCTGAGAACACTGCAAAGAATAACGCATCTCCACTACTTAAGGAGATGAGAAGCTGATGGGGAGAGAGAACCATTAGACTGGAATGTCACAAGGACAAGAAAATTACAAGGTGCTGCACAAGCCTGAAAGGGGATAATCCTTGGGTGGTAAAGATAAAGCGTAATAGAGAACACAGCTTGAAGGACAGAGTTCCTTTGGCATATGAGTTGACGAAGACATTCC